GCCCCCCCCCCCCAAATTTCTTTTTAACAAAAAAAAAAAAAAAAAAAAAAAATCAAATTTAAGCTGTGAGTGTAATATCCAGTCATAGAGGTGCCTTAATAATATATTTTCTTACCCCAGTCCCAACTGTCCATCCCTGTTCACCTCTCTTTCGAATTCCATGAGTCTGCCACTGTTAAATTATTATATAATTATTGTTAAGATTACTGATATTATTTATGATGCGTCTTGCAATGTTCAGTTTACCCTCTCAAAAGTCCTAAAAACTATGTACCTCGTATAACGGCTTCCCCTCCCCGCTTTCAAAATCCTGGCTACTTCCCTGCTGTGGTTTTCTGGGACTACTGGGGGTCGGTTTCCGGTCCCGTTTGCCAATTCTGTTGTGGGGTTTAGATATGTTTTTAAATCACGTTTGCCATTTAATATATGATGTTTTTTACGACGAAAAAAGTGATATGATATCAGTAGCGGATCTAGTAGGAACTTGAAATAGAGGGCCCAGGGAGGGACTTTCACAGATGAAGGGTCTGTACCACCTGAGCCTACACCATAATTGGGGCTGAGGTAAGAAAATTTATGATTATGGCACCTCTAGATGGCCCGAAATGAAATTTTAATACTGTATCATTCTGTTTTCACCAATTTGACAAACCAGGAGTGCCTTAAATGATAAATGTCCCACAGTTGACGTTAGAGACACATTCTACTATGTGTCAACAGAGGTCTTTTGGGTCAGCGTGCTAGGTCGAGGACCCTATGGGTAGGGGCCCAGGGTCCCTAGGAGTCGAGGGCCCTGTGGACCTCCGCACGAGAGCGCATAGGCCTATACGCGACTGCAATCATGACGATAATAAATCAAATACGATTATGACAGGCGAACATTGTGTTTGGTCTGAGATAACTAGGCCTATATAGTAGGCTATACTATACTATAGTATAGTTGGCACAGGTCTGGTGAATGAAGTGAAATTACAAGCAAACAACATTGAGATTTCGTTACCATTTGTCATATTAAAAAAATAGTTAACCGATGAATCAAATCATAAACAACTCTGATATAGGCCTGTATATTCTGCTACCAAAAATTGTTGTGATGTCATCATGACCATATTAAGCCATGTCACATGTTTTTGTCAAATAATATGTAATAGCCTGGACAGGGCTTTAGCCAAGCCAATGAAGATAATTTCTTTTGACGCATACTCTGTCTCATTTTTAGAGTTGCCAACGTGCACACGACAGGGTCGTAGACTTTTTCCTATGGTTTGAAGTCTGGAGAGCATCTCTGAAGGAAGTTGAGGGTAAGTAGTGACGCAGAGCACAAAATAACCTCTCATGCACAAGCACCAATCAACATATAAAATATATCTATTTTCCCAATTTTTTTTATAATGTAATAATCATAAACTTCGTGCACTTCCGACCAAAATATTCGTTTACACCGTGGCATACGGTACGTTTTGCTTGAACAATCGTATCACACTCGCATACCATATCACACACACACACACCCACACACACACACACACACACACACCCGTACACATACACAGGCCCATATGTACATATATACACACACAACTTTTTTTAAATTACCGGATCCGGCATACTGTATAATTATGAATACCGGCCTCGAACTATAAATTGATTTTAAACCAGTTGACTATGCTTAAGACTAGACTGAGTTAGAAGGTTGATAGAACAACAATGGATAATTCATTTAACATAACCAATCAATTAACATAGATCAATCATTGTAACAATGCACAACTAACCAACAGTCAAATTAAACATATAGAGGGAATCAAATAAACATAACACAATACAAACTAGATCATTAATAAATAGAGCCTAATACACAGGCGATGCTCTGAGCTCATAATATATTTTGTCATTTTGTCATTATTTGTATTTTGTAATGAAAGTAGAAAAACGGAGAACCCATTCAATCAATTAGTTAATACATCTTTTTTTCTGAGTTAATGGTATGTTAAAAGACGTCTCAAGATCAACTCTTGACCATTTTTTTTTTCATTTTCTTTGTTAAGTATAAATAATTCACATTTAATTAAATCATGTAATTCGTGTAGGAACATTTTCCATGGGCATTTTATCCCCAACTCTAATATTTTTAATACTTTACTTTTATATAATGCAGAAGGTTAAAATTGAGACAATTTCGTTAACTCGAAAAAAATAAAATTTTAGACCATTGGATTTTATCAGGAATTTTAAAACACGATGTTAACATCATATTAACGTTGTACTAGCAAAAGTAACTTCTCTGCATTTGAATAGCATGTGCTCTGTAACCTTACAAATCTCACAAAAACTAGTGGCAGATCATCTACATACCTAACCTACTCTTTGTTGAAACTGTTCTGTGTAAACGTTTAAAATTAAATTGAGCTATATTTTTTAAAATGTACGGTAACGTATTATAAACTTTATTCTTCCAACAAAGTTCCCAATCGATTTTGTTAATGTGTAAGTAATTTTTCCACTTGTATGAGCACTTGGAATGGTATATTTCGCATTTTTAAACGAAGACGAATAGAATTATAGAAAAACAAGCTTATCTACTTACATAAATGTCTTTTCCTTATCGTGCCTCCATAAAGAGCTGGTTTTTCTTTTGTTTGTTTGTTGTTTATTTTTAAACCACCAAAAATGTGTTTACGCCTAAAAAGTAGAAAATACTGTGAAGAATGCAAATTTTGAAGTTATTGACCTTTTTGTCGTAAAGATCTTTAAATGACGCGTCTAAACTGGACGTTCTAAAAGATTTGATGATTTCACGATCTCGGCAGACCAACACCAACAAAAACATGACGATGGTACGAGAAAGAGAAACGACTTTTTAATTTTTACGAGTACAGAAATGTGAAGTGTTCATGTATTGCTATTAAAATATATTTTAATGATTTTATAATATATATATATATATATATATATATATATGTATATGTATATATATATGTATATATATGTATATATGTATATATATATGTATATATATATGTATATATGTATGTATATATAGGCCTATATATTTGTGTTTTGTAATTTAGGTCAGTTCGGAACAGCGGTCGTATCGTTTTTCGTCTTCGTAAAATGGATGATGTATTTGAACATTGGCATTTTCCTCTTAATCTTATCCTTCATTATCGTTCCCCAAGCAATAAACAACCACAAAGACATGGGTAAGTGCAACTTTGTTATGAAATAAAATTCAGGGAGCACGGTGGTCCCTGTCCTTTATTTATTTTTTTTTTCTATTATCGAAAAATTACCATATTTTCATGGCGTTGTATAGTAGAGTGCTGGGTCGTAGGAGGAGCCCCGTGGAGTCTCCGGGTTCATGGACTGAGACTGCTGGCCCCAGAAAAACATACATGTGTTACGCCACTATTAAGTCTCAGTAGTAGTTTTAGGTAGTAGGAGGGCTAGGAAACCTTTTCAGTGGGGCCCGGGTTTCGTCTCACCAGGCGTTATTTACGTCGCCACACTGCATTGCAGGACTACTACACTTTACCCTTTACCATATCATACCAAACCTTATTACACGACACCCTGTGGCGTAGCTACGGGCCGTAAAGCCAGTACAAAGTACTGGCGCCAAGAGTTATTTGGGGCTCATTCATGAATAGACATAAACATAATAAATTAAAGTAATCTCCTATTTAATATTTTGAAGAAAATAACGGCCAGCGGATGTATTTGGTTTTTAGAGGATTAATTATTGATTACTGTGTTGATTTCAAATTAGTAATGTATTCAAGGGTGCCTCAGGCGGCCCACCCCTACACTTTCCCCTCCCCCTAAATTTTTTTTAAAAATTATTAGAAATAGGGAAAAAAGGAAATTTTATTAAAATTGAAGTGTGAGAGTGCCATTTCCGGCCAGCTAGAAGTGTTACCTATATAATATAATATATAGGGTTTAATATATATATATATATATATATATATATATTATAATAAAAAAATAATAATAAATATAAATATAAATATAAATATTTATATATATATAATTATATATATAAAATACCTTTTTTCAGTCTTGACTGATAATTGCACTGTGTCATACGAAGAATATGTTAAAAGTGATACTGATTATTCAGGCAATGTATTTTTTTACGTCGTTGATTTTCTCGAAGGAAAGGTGAGATATATCATAGCCTATATCAGTTAGTTTCCAAGATTCAATTTTATTATCATCATCATCATCATAAACAACAGCAACATCATCATATCATCATCATCATCATCATCATTATTGTCAAAAAACTTATGGAAGAGGTAATTATTATTGCATGCCTCTATCTCATAAGCAAACTTTTATGTTGTGTTTGATTTGAAATGTAATTTTAATGTGCTTATCTGTATTTTAATAATGTAATAATTTGTTAACTTAAAATAAAATTGTATTACTACAGTTACAACCTTACTTGTATTTATTTTCTTTAAGTTAGTGGATTTTGTTTAAACACCTATACAGTACTGTATACTGTTTTGTATAATTGGGTTTTTTTTCTTGTTTTTTTTTTACACAGTTAGTTTCTTTTAGTTGTTTTTCTTCCTCATTGAACGCACCACATTTTTGTGTACCGCTGAAAGTGCATGTTCAGTTGAATAAATAAATCATCAATAATATTATTCATTTATCATTATCATCATTTGCATTACTGAAATATGTATTTTATTATTGTTTTAAAACAAACATGTTTTCATAATTATTATCGTTATCATAAGATTCGATGATGTTATTAGCTTTACCAATATTACACAAATTATCGTGATCGATCGATCTCTCAATTCGGTTAGCAACAATACTTTATTATCATTATTATCATTATTTATTGTTAATTTCCGTTTCAGGGTTTTATGGAATATACAGTACTATTTTATGGTTTTTATGTTCCATCGGAATATTCCTCAATTCCATACGACATGCCATTGGCGTACCTCCTGACCGGATTCGCATGTTTTCTATTAAGTGTAATTATTGTGGCACGGAGGTAAGACGTTTATTCTCCCAACAAAAAGCTATCTAAAAAGGAAATTAACATGACAAATCAGATAAATTTAAACAACAGCTTTAATATTAAGAAAATGACATGGCACCACAGATTAACTGAATTTATAACGATATATTCTGGAGAAAGGTAGAGAACAAGATAATACATTTCACATTTGACAATCTATAATTTAGAGAATATATATAATTTGACTTAGGTCAAAAATCATTAGACGATCACGCTGTTAACTTATTGGGTTATGCTGTTACCCACTGGCTGATGCTATTAAACTGACACATTATATTTTTAACCAATCGGGTCATGATATTAACCCGTCGGTTTGTTGATGTAGGCCTACAAGTAACATGATGTTAACATAATTGGTAACGAGTTGTTAACCTGTTTGGTAATCATCGTGGTCAAGTTGTCAAACCTTCAGAGAGTCATGTTGTTAACATCTCGGATTACGATGTTTTTAACCCGCCGATTAGGATTTTAACTGGTTGTCACATACAGGGTCACGTGATTATCCTATTGACCTGTTAACCTCTCGGGGTCATGCCATTACTTTAAATGTACCGAATCAACTTGTCGGTTCACAGCGTTACCATTCAATTCCTGGTCATGTTGTTAACAGGATCGTGTTCTTAACTTACCACTAGGTCACGTCTTTAATTGACCGGGTTATGGAGTTAACCCAATTGAATTTCCATTTCAGGGCAGGAGACGGTTTCAAACAAAATATGCTGGAGCAAGAAGGCCATCAGTGCAAGTATTCTCAGATTGTATTTACGGGATGGGATTTCTCGCTCACTGACTCAAAAAATGCAAGACTGAAACACAAAAGTGTTTTATTTGAAATATCGGTAAGTACCCTTGATGATTATACGCAGACATAATACAGTATTTAGACCTTACTCCGATAGTGGGTTGAAGCCGTGTGATACTGAAGCCGTAATACCAAGTTGACTGATTGTATGTAAAATTTAAAAATACAGTATATCGAAATTATTTAGGCATTGCAATCGCTCAAAATTAAACTGGATAAATCACATGAAATTAACGTTTGTATAGAGAAACAACGTTGTCAGTGGACCATTAAAAACATTTTATAGACTATAGTGTTTGTTACGCAAGCAATCAGGTGCAGGTTTTTATTAGATATATCAACCAGTCTAATTATCTGATAAATTAAATACAACAGAATTCACGTTAGATAGCAATACAATTTTCTGGTGCTGCAGGTTGTTTTCGATAATGTTTACTCGAGTAGGAGACTAGACACCATAATTCCGTTCTCTTTTGAATTAATTTGAAGGGTGATCTTAGTGAAGAGCAGAGGAAACGAGAGCAAGCAGAAATGAAAGCGAAGGAAAAATGTATGCTCTATACACTACGCATCGTTATAAATTTAGTAATCGTTGCAATCGGAGTAGGTGCGTTAGTCGGTATTGTAGCGGTCACTATATACGCAATTAATGTAAGTAGACATCTGTTTCTGCAGTTTAGTAACGATAATAACAAAACAGCAACAGCAACGAAATGATGATGATTATGACTTGACGACGATGTCTATTATGACGATGATGTCGATGATAATTAATGAAAGTGGATCATGATATAAAACATCGAACAGCATAATATAAAAAAAATATGAAAAAGTAAAATTTTAAGGCCTAAAGTAAAGTATGTTTTGTAATAATCAACCCGGTAAAATTAAAGAGATAGCGAACTTGATATAGGCCTACCTTTAAATCAGTAATTTATACCCTCCATTAGCCGAACAAGACATTCAGAGTATATAGAGATAGCATTGTAATCTGGGATTAATTGGTCTCATTGGAGGATACAGGACGGGGCAAAAGACTTCCTCCCCCACACCTTTCCTTGTTAGCCAAACAAATCGCTAACCACGTGTGAAATCTGTACTTAGATCAGAGATTGAAATTACTAAACCTGCGAGGATTCCATGGAAAGTAGCCCCCAGTACTCCCTCACTAGGTAAGCAAACACCTCAGAGCCAATTACTCAATATGTTCCTCTCCCTTCGGACCTTATATCTTGCTCACACCAGTCCGGCCAAAACAAATCAGGATCCATCCGTCACTAGTGGCCTATCTGCCCTACGATCTCTGAATGCACGTTTTAATAAGATAGACATTTTAGAGTTTGAATCTTAATGCTAGTTCACCATACGCCTGCTGTTAAAACTTGTTTAATCAATACAGGGCGCCTCTATACTGATTATTATTATTATATTATAATATAAAACATGTTTTGTAATTTTAAAAAGGTTTTTCTGTAATAGTATATGAAATGTTGAATCTTAAATCTTGAATAAAAAATCTTAAGTATATTCTCCATATTCAGTTCGTTTTCATGAAGTTTTTTTTCTTTTTTTTTTTCGATTTCACAGCAATCAACAGGAAATTTAACCGGTATCACGGCGTTCATTATCAGTTACCTGCCGTCCATCACCGTTACAGTCATTAACAGTATTGTTCCCATAATCTTTGGCATTTTAGTCAAATTCGAGAAATACAATCCAAACTTTGAAATCAATATCACATTAGGAAGGTAATTAGCTTTTGTTTTATCAAAGCATAATAATCATTGTCAACATGAGCATTATCATTACGATAATGTTTATTACTAAAGTTATTATTATTATTAATATTATTATTATTATTATATATTATTATTATTTATAACTTTTAATATTACTGTTATTGTTCTTATTCTTATTCTTTTATTTCCAAAACAAAACACAAAGACAGTACGCAGGAAACCATCCAACTGAGTGAGCTGGAAGGAAACACAAAAGCGAACCTAATCGCTGTAACTAAAAGTCAGTGTTTCCCACTCACCCAGTTTCACATTAAAATATTTAAACATTGATAAAATAAACTATTGTTTATTATTATTAAAGATGTATTGTCCCATGCTAAATACTAAAAAAATCATACAAATAATTTTTCAAATTATCTTGCCCATTTTGAAGTAACATAAAAGTTATCAACTTGAACATAGAAATTAGTGTATTTAAAAAATGTCTACTCACCATCAGTTTACAGCGAAACAATGATAGAAACACTTCCAGTCACTGGAAATGTTTTATTATTTTTATTATAATTTTTTGGTTTAAAATCAGGGTAAACATTTTTTTAATTCAATAATTTTTATGCACAAGTTAAACACTTGTATGCTATTGCAATATGAGCAAGTTTGTTTCAAAATTATTTTTTATGGGTTTTTTTTTTACATTAGCAAGGGACAATTCATCTTTTAACCTATTCTTGTACAATGACAATAACTATTATATATTAGGTCTATTACAATTTTTATAAATATCCTTAATAATAATAACTACCGGTATGTTGTTGTATTTATATGATTATTATAATTACAGTATTACTATTATTACTTTGAAAGATAATAATAATTATTATTATTACTATATTTTATTAACTGTCTGATTGATAGGACCGTCCTGCTGCGTTTAGCCTCGCTTGCTGTTCTCATTGGTTCCATCATTCCAAGAATCACGGACTGTGAGCATAACGAAGAAATAAATGTTACCGCAATCATCGCCTATTGCGAGGCTTGTGAAGAATCAATACAGGTAAGAACATGACCACCACGCCCTCTAATATAAAGCTATCAATCTAAGAATGGACTGTTCCAGAATGTCCATCAAACTTAACAGCTGACCAATCAAAACAAGGCCACGAGTACGCGCGTGCCTCACAGACACACGTGTTGCACTGTCGTTTCGTTGGACCCTAGCAACAATATCCAATGGGCGGGACTTAGCATAAAAATACATTTCTAGTGTTGTACAATAATAAGTGTGGAAAGCCTGCAGAAAAAGATTAGTAAAAGAGAAAATAGTGGTAACTATGGTAATTTGGTGACTACTTCCTGACTCGTTTTCCATGGAGTCACGATTTAGGTATGCAGTTAAGATGATTGGCCCCTTAGTTTGAACGTTTTATCCTTTATTTATTATAAGTAAAAATAACAGTAATTTTATTAATGACGATTTTACATCCGTGTGTAATCGTGGGTCACCTGTAAACTACTACTACTACCTCTCTTTCTTTCTTTCTTTCTTTCTTTCTTTCTTTCTTTCTTTCTTTCTTTCTTTCTTTCTTTCTTTCTTTCTTTCTTTCTTTCTTTCTTTCTTTCCTTCTTTCCTTCCTTCCTTCCTTCCTTCCTTCCTTCCTTTCTTTCTTTCTTTCTTTCTTTCTTTCTTTCTTTCTCTCTAATAATTACACGGTGACAACGATGTTAGTTGAGGCGGCGGCATTGACGGCGGTATGCGGTGGCAATTGGTGAATTGGTTTTTCCGAAGCATACATAATATCATATACAGTATAAGTAGTATATAAACTTACCAGTGGCGTATCTAGAGGGAGCACGGAGTTTACCCTAAAAAAAAAAACACAACCCCCCCCCCTCCAGTTGTCCCCTATTGAAAATGCTCGAAGCAAAAAAGTCACACTCAAGTAGTTACTAATCACATCACCGCATTTTGCTACCTCAGGCCCGTAGGCAGGATTTTCGATGGGGAGGTGCGTTTTTGCGACAGAGGCGGACCTTAGAATGGGCGACTGCCTAGGGATCCCCGCGGGAGGGGGAGGCGAATCCCCCGGAAGCTCAGACAAATTAACATTTTGAGGGCCTTATAATGGATTTCTGAAACCCATAATTCGGAATATTCTCTGTAAATTTTCATTCATTTGGGTATTGTTTAGGGGCATAAAGCAGGAGAAATAGAGGGTGGGGTCCAGGGCCGGAAGGAACTTTCACAGACGAATGGTTAATACCACCTTAGCCCCACCACCATGGTTGGGGCTGAGGTAAGAAAATTTATGATTATGGCACCTCTAGATGGCCGGAAATGGCACTCTAAAAAAAAATTTAATTATGATTTTTCTTTTTTCTCCATTTCTTTTATAATTTTAGGGAGCTCCCCCCACCCCCTAATCCACCACTGTAAAGTTGTAACTTTTTATGTCCTTTACATCTGTAGGTCTACAGATGACATGGTTCAATCTGCAATCACTGGAGCTGATAATTTCCAACAAATTTCGTAGCACGTTATTAAAAATCATCGGTTAGAAGAGCGGGCAAAAACAAATGTAATGCATACTAGGCCTATAGCATTTCGCGATAATTAGGAACGATTTTAATGAAATAATAGGTTTTCAAAAGTGGACTTTTTGAAATGTCGTGGTCCCGGGGCAGAGATCTGGAGGGGTTTTTGAGAAAAGCCCCAGGAGGCTCCGACAAAGTAGCATTTTGAGGGTCTTATATAATGGATTTCTCAAACACATAATTCGTGAATAATTTTTTTTTTTTGGGTGGGGGGCTGGGGCCTGAAGAAGTAACGTTATTATGTCCTGTACATCTGCAGGCCTACAGATAACATATTATATTATAAGATCAATCTGCAGTCACCGGAGACGATAAATTTCCAACAGATTTCATATCATATTTAAAATCAACGGCTGGATGTGCTGGCAAATATATAATGCAACGCATGCTAGAGCATTTTGTGATAATTAGGAACGGTTTTGTGAAATAATAGGTTTTAAAACGTGTACCTTTTTGGAATTTGGGGAGGTAGGTTGCAGCCGCACCCTCTGCACTACCTGCCTACGGGCCTGTACCTAGTGCCTTCCACTTAATAATTTAGTCCCCACTCTACCTTCATCAACCACCCCTCCCCCATCACCCGCCCCTCCCCATTTCAAGACTCCTAAATACACCACTGAAACGTATTCGTTTTCGTTGTTTCCCTTACGAAAATACAGTGTTGGGAGACCTACCTCGGCCAGGAGATGTACAAATTATGTATCACTGATTTCGCCGCAGTCATCGGTGTTATAATCTTCTACGAATTTCCTCGAAGGTAACTTATAATTTTATATGTATAGGCTGTACATTTGTATATTTATTTATATATGTGTGTGCGTACGTGTGTATAGAATCTGTCATAATATTTTATATATTCTTTTACAATAATTATATATATGTTTTTCTCTTTAAAATATAACGTAGATTTAATCTTGTTGCGTTATATACATTTTGTAAAAAAGTGCCATTGTTGAAAAAAAAAAGATTCTACAGACGTATTTTAAACTGCTGAATACACACCAGTTCTTACCCTTACATAATAAATGGTGAACATGTGATGACTTCCAAACGTGGTAGAGTTGGCAAATATTCAAATTAGTCTTTAGGAAAGACTAACTCAAGGATCTTAAACTATTATCTTTTAAGGATTTAAGATATAAATATAAAAACTTAACCTGAGGAAAACAAGTTTTAGATCTTTAGAAATGTGTTTTCGTATGTTTTCTTTGCAATAGCGGTCTCGAATTTGAGGGATCGCGAAGTAGATGTGTCCCGAATTGAATTGTGCACTGTATTTAATACGTCTCTTTTTTGTTATGTTATTGAGTCCAAAAGCAGTAAAATATACACTACATATCATTATCTCTTGTGTAGCTTTTCAACACTGCTTTACTCTTGTTGCTCTCACTGGACTGCAGCATAGCTTTGCATTATTTTCTTCGGCCATGATCACCATTGCCTCTTGGTTTAGGGTTCAAGTCTGTTTTATCAGCTTTTCTTGCAGGTAGACCTATTCTAATTATACTAAGAAATTTAGTCTTAGAAGGCAATATCCATTATCCCCCTTTGTATTTCACCTTTTGAAGATATTGCAAATAGAAAGATCCTTCAAGAATATTAGGTGGGACCGCCGGGCGGGAAGGCGTGATCGTAAGCCAATCCCTAAGTTGACTGTCAATAGATCTTCCTGTTACAATTGCACAGGCGGTGGCAATCACCTTAAAACCTAGTTTCAATACCATTGAAATTCTTTTCCGCGAGAAATCATGGTATTTACAGAGACTTGGAAGACCGGTTCCAAGAGCCTACTGATGGTCAGACTTCTTCGCAACTTCATGCAGACTGTCACATTAAAAGTTCTTTCATCGCTCCCGGTTCCACTGTGGAGGTGGTGTTAGGAATTTACTTAGGTGGTTTCAATGTTCACAACAACGAATGCTATGAATTCAAGTACATCGATCTTAAAATTTCATCTTCTTCCTCCAGTCTTAATATCTATAAACCATTCTGAAATCTGGCAAATAAAAACTGTTGATAGACAAAACTATAACGATAAGTGCAGAGATTACAGTCGACCTCTAACTTATTCCAAGGACAATTTTCACGTTAAAATTCAAGGCAAAAATCTATCATTTCCTTTATGTCAAAGATATTTGAGAGGAATGTTAAGTTCAGCTTCAGGCATACTTGACGAGTATATGAACTCTTAGTCGAGTCACCAGCATATCGCAAGAAGCATAGTGTTGAAACTTCACTTGGAAAAATATAAGACGACATACTTTGTAAATTGGACAAGCGTAAAGAAATGCTAAGAGCCCTTCTTGATTTCAGTGCCGCCTTTGACATTTTAGATCATGCTGCACTTGTACATCGTTTGTCATATCGTTTCGGTATAGAGAGCACCGCCCTATAACATGTATCCAATCCTATCTTGGGGAACGTCAACAGTCCTGTTGCACTAAGGCACTTTTCACAGGAAAGGCAGAGCTCTTACGGTGTACCACAATGTTGTTTTAGGACCATACTACAAATCCACTAGAAGGCATAATTGAGACCCATGCTTGTCGTCGTGTCATTTTCTATGCGGATTACACACAGATATATGCCCTTTTGAATCCAAGAGCTATGTCAAAACTTCCAGCTTATATTCTATATGTTAAGTCATGGGCTCTATATCGAACAATCTAATTTTGAATGCATCTAAAACTGAGGTCATTCACTCTGTTTCTCACCATTAAAATTCCATCGCAATCACTTCTATTGAGATCGATGAGTCTACTCTATTACTCGACTGTAATTTTCAGTTAATAATGAACACATAAGTAACATTAATTACCAGAATTACGAAGTACAAGACAAAAAGACGAATGAAAGACTGGTACATGCTCTTATAACATCCCGTTTGGACCGTTGCAACAGAACATGCTGTTTGGTCTTCCCAAGTCCAAACTGCTTAAGCTGCAAAGGGTGCAGAACATCGCTGCCCGTATCATAACCCGAAGTAAACCACTGTCACATAACACCTGTTATCCGTGATCTCCATCTTCAAAATCCTGTTCATAACTTTTAAATCACTGCTCTCTGGTGCTCCAGCTTGCATAAGGCAACTTATTTCAATTCATGACCCTAAGGAATGAACTGCCTGAACACATCAAGAGATGAACTTCAAGGTTATACTCGAAAGTTATGTTTTTCTTTCATTGCCATCATCTTTTTCAATTCCTTTGTTCCTTTAGTGTGTGGAGTGTGTGTTAAGCGCGTTGAAGATTTGCATTGCTACACTGCTGTATATAAAAGTATACCTTATTATTACTGTGTCAATTACAGGCTTATTACCAGTTATTTTGAATGCGGTATTACGAAGATTCTTGGGGACATGGAGTTTGAAATACCAAAGAACGTATTAGCGATCGTTTACTCTCAAGCAATATGTTGGTAAGCTCTTTGTAGACCCTATCCTGACTATGTTTTTTTTTTTTTATCTTCTTTTTTTGCATTTGAAAAAAACAAACCATGTGACATGCCTAAATATGGACATATAGCGTCGCTCACATCACGAACTCACACAATTAAATTCAATTGTGTTAGTTCGTGAAATCAAAAAAGCGCGTCAAAATACGCGCTACTGTCGTTAAGGACGTTTTGTGTGGTAAAGAATGCAAAATTGCTTGACAACCAATACGCGCTCGTTTTGACGCGCTATTGTGATTTCACGAACTAACACAATCTACTTTGATTGTGTTAGTTCGTGATGTGAGCGACGATATATGCACACCATATTGAAATACAACAACATTTGATTAATGAATGGACCTGGACAGAACAATTTATAGTTAAACACAATAATTAGCTGGATTCTGTTTGTAAAATAAGAAAGTTTATTGATATGACCAATACAAATGTTTTGTTTTTGTTTTTTTTTCTTTATAACTACTAACGCTGACAAATTCTATTTGTGAGCGAAAGTACAATACACTACACTATTTATTCATCCATTATTTCGTCCGTCTGCCATCCATTCATTTATATATTTAATCATTCATTCATCAAATGATAACTGATATTTGTATTATATAAGTGGATACAAGATAAGATACACTACATATTCATTATTATTTATATTCATTTACATTTTTATTCATTTGTTTATTCATTCATTTATGTATTCGTTCATCCATTTATTCAATAATAAATGCATAACTTTCATTCATTCATTTATTCTTTCATTCATCAATCAATTTATGCATCTGTATATATTCAATTATTTTAATGACTCACGCATCTACTCAGTTTACTCGTGAATTCATTCACTATTCTATTCATTTATTAATTCGTTCCTTTATTAAATTTGAATGCATTCTGTATTCATATTTATCCATCCATATATCCATCCAATATTTAATTCATCATTATTATAATGTTTTCATTAAAAATCATTAATTATTGCTATTATAGCGAAACATATTTTATATTTACATCTAAAAAATTTAGTTTTGAAACAAATTTGACTTCATGTCTATTTACATTAAACAGGCTTGGTGCGTTTTTCTGTCCGTTGATTCCATTCATGACCGCGTTGAAATTTTTCATCGTGTTTTACTTTAAAAAGTGGAGCTTACTCTACAACATGGTTCCATCAGCAAGACCTTACAAAGCGTCTCGATCGGGCTTCTTCTTTATGGTTATTCTGCTTGTCACGTTTCTTCTCTGCTTTGCTCCAGTGGTCTGCGCAATGACATTGTAAGTATCCATACAATTATTAATTTTAAAATGTTTAAATATGAATTATTCACACAGTCATAAACATCATATTGTTCTCTTTAGGCTGTCGTGTACGAATGGTTTTTAAATAAAAGAATAAAGGTGTAACCTTGAGATATGTGATGAGAGCTCCCTCTATAGAGCTAAAATTAAATTTTGGGTAAATCTACTGCGCACCAATGTGTGTCGTTTGTTTTCAAATGTGTTTTTGTTTTATTTTAGATGAATTTTTTTTATACTAAGCCAACAGTAAAATTTATTACCATTAGAGTTTACTGTTGAACTGTTTTGATCGTTAATAGACCAAACACAATGAATGTTAACTTACTGCGAGTTAACACCCATTGCGTTTGTTTTTTATTAACGTTCAAAACAGTTGTACAATAATATTAAGCAAACCAGATGAAAATATTCGAGCATTACCCTTTACTGTTGGCGTAGCATCAAAGAAAATTCATCTAAAATATATATCAGAAACCAAATTAAATTATTTTAACATTTGTGTTTTTGTTGATATAATCAATAAAAGATACAATATGATATTGAAAATTAAACAAAGAAAGACAATCTTTACAAAGAAAAACAATGAGGATCGATTAATATGTAAATACATAATGGGAATTTTTTGTCGACGTGAGAATCACCAATTGGAAAACCCGCAAAAGTCCGAAAATGTATTTCTGTATTTCCAGTCTAGTGGTATCCTTCTTGCGGTTCTCTCCGGCACTCTTTTCCGAAGAGTACTTAATTAAGAGAAAATCAATGATGCTGGATTAGTGAGTAATTTAAATACGTTTAAAGCTGCAATACAATAGATCGCACCTGAACAAAAAAAAAATATTGTGTGGGCCGACCGACCCAAAAAGTACGAAATTGAGGTTCGGCATTTTAATATTTTTTTTTTTTAAATACAACGAACAATATTTTTTTTATGAGCTAAAAAGGCTGGAATTGGCCTATCTTGATGCACGGTAGGCGATACGACAGTGTTATGTGATCGGTTTCCTCTTCAGTATAGATTTAAAATTGGTCTTTGTTGTATTTTTGACTTTTTAGGCATAAACACATTATTGGTAAAAAAAGAAATAAAAAATTTAAAAAAATTTTAAAATCCTATTGACCTACCCATTTTTTTTTTTCAATTTTCCCAAAACGTGGCCAACACAAGATTTTTTTTTTAAATGGCCTTATTATAATTATTTACTAATTTATTTTAATATGTAAAGACACATACACTAACCACTGCTATCATTTTAATTAATGCACTTTTTTTTAACTGTTACTCTATTAACATCGTTTGAGTGCTGCTGCATTGGCCTATATTGCCAATGACAACAAAAGCGGGTTCTCTCAGTTGGAACGCCAGTGTTTCTAGTTCTGCTTCTTTTTTTTTTTTTTTTTTTTTTTGCATTAGATTATAATGTCTTTGCTCTATTTAATTTATAATTACATTCTTTCAGAATGACGCCTTCTAAGGGATGTGGTCCTTTTCGCGATCTTGAAACAATGTGGGAAACGATGATATTAGCGTTTGAAGATTGGCCTCCTGTAGTCCAGGATATAATCAACTACTCTGTTTCTTCTAGTCTTTTTGTTCTTGTAATTGCGATAGCTCTAAGGTAAGTCTAAAACTCTCCTCTGTGCATAATTATTGTGTCGACTCTGGCGCCAGGGTCTGACCTTCCCGACTTGGAGTGGGGGGGGGGGGCGCATTGCCCCGACAAGAGCAAAGTGGGCGTAGTCGAGCATCACTTGAATTCTCTTAAAATTTGACCTCTCCCGCTGGTGCCACCTATGGTTAGCAAATACGATCGGAACAAGATGTTCAAAAACTGGGGCCGTCAAAGGGGCGTCAGGCAGTAGAACGTTATAATGTACCGGTATATTGTGTAAATATGAAATAAATATTTATCCCTAATAATAGACTGATGTTTCCATATTTGCGACATAGACTGTAGCTGCAACTATGTTGTTGTCAGGCAGTTAAAAATGGCTGAAAGGGTAAATCCGGTGGAGGTGCATTATGGGTCATGTGTCATCTTAAGTACCTTATTACTGTACACATCATAAAAAATACAACACCACACATTTCCTTATAACCGTATCCCATGTGGACACTTTATTAGCAGACATTACATAGTAAGGCAGTATATATGGCATAGACACACGCTCCGGCCTGAAGCCTATTTTTTAAATGTATGCTTTAGAATATTAAAAAATGTCTTTAAATTTCCATAGTTTGGCGATGTATTACTACTACGTAGCAGGAAGTGCGCAAAAGGAAATAATCAACCAATTAAAGGAACAACTTGTGATGGTAAATAATAAATTAATAATAATTAGAATGAATATATTTATTTTAATACAATGTGGGCCTATACTATATATATATATATATATAATATGTATAATATGTTATGTATCTATATCTATATATATTAATATAATGTAGGCCTATACTATATATATAATATATATAATATATAATATATATAATACATATATAGTATATATAATATATTATACATATATTATATATATATGATGAATAAAAAGTGTAGCAACAATACGATATTGTAATAACTTGAAGTACACAGTTCATATGAACAATCATTTTTATCACAATCCATAATAAATACGCACACACGTCAACTATTATATCAGGCCTCAATATGATATATAAGTATAATTTTATATACAGGTATAGATTAAGGGATTAATAAAGACTACGCCTATATGTATGAATATATAAACCTATATAATACAAATGCTATGCCAGCCTTATCGTACCATACTATTCTCTATAAAATATTACTGTATATTACTAAAAACCGTAAGATAATTTAAGACTAGTTAATAATCTATTGTTAAATTTATTCTTCAGGAAGGTAAAGACAAACATTTCCTATTGCTTCAAATGCAAGAACTTGAGCCATCAGTGAAGAAGGACCTCCGCCAAAAACGAATGGAGAGCGGGAATACCGGTACGTTACGAGGAAAGAGACGCGTTTCGCAGCAGCAACCAATCAGCGAAGCCATGTTCAACGACGCTGATGACGTCTCAATTATTTCATCTATTGTTGAGATGGCGGGGCCAAGTGGAACTGGAGATCGGTACCATTCGGATGATAAAGGGAGTCATTCGTATGACAGATAAAACATAGCAATAATAGCACCGATATTCAACAAGTATTTTTATAATTTCCTTTGCACACATACAATTACGAATTTATCACACTCATCTCAAATTAAACGATTGGATATTTAACTGCTAGTCCTAAATCTTGTTATAATGTTTGAAAAGTAAAATATTGGTGTTTAACAGCGGGTTCGAGAATCTTTGGATCTTAGGATTAAAATACAAACATTATTATTTTCTACGAAGGTGCATCTCCACTAATAGCTAAAATTAGTTGTATGTTTCTTAAAGTAGGCCTATGTGTTTGATTTGTCTTGCATCACATAGTCCTAATGTAATTACTTTTTTTTTCTTTATAATTTTGGTATTTTGTTCAGATCTATTGCTCTTCCACGGGGCCTGGTAATTACTTTAGGACTATAGCCAGTCTGATAATGAGTAGAGTTGTTTTAGTCGTGAGAAAAATCCTGTTATCACAGGAATTGAACCCACGACCTGGGCTTTAGACGGCAGTCGTCTCACCCTCGATAAAATAAAGATTTAACTAAAGAATTAATCACTAAGCTATTCAACTTAACTCACAGGCCTTGTGGGATTTTTGTTGTTGAAATATTTGCCTCAGGGCCCAGTTTGTAGAGAAACCGAATGGTAGTTTGTCTTAATAAGATAGGATATCAATATAGGCCCTACGCCTTTTTCATGAAACATGTATTTGAGGGGAAAATAGCTACGACGTTCCATCTGGTACAAACATTCTTAACATCAGACGTTTTTTAGCAACAGGTGCGCTGACTACATAAATTTAGCAAATACTATTACGTTATTTGAATCTAAACTGTACAATGATAGAAGAAAAACAGTTGTTTGTTTAGAGTTAATAGTAAAGACATTTAGTTTGGGAGGCTATTAACAGGCTTATACTTTTTGTGGGGGCGGGGTTGGGGATTTGGAATAGTCATACTCATTTCATATTATCGTATTAATTGTAATTGATTTCTATTGTATTTTTCCATTGAATGAAAGGTGATTTGAATTGAAGTACTTTTGCTCCATTTGCAAAAAGTTAAAATAAAAAATTGGCAATTTTAAAAATGAAACAATTCAATAAGCATATATATACGAAATGGTTATGCCTATACATTGTATTCTCGGAAGCAATTATCAGATATTCTGTTTGAATATCAGAGCAATGGATTCTAATGTATACATTTTTGAATATTAAATAATAATATTTAAATGAAAATATAAGTAAAGGAAATATGTACAGTATGTGTACTTGAATTAAAATTAGATATTTTTTAATACCACAATTCCTCCTGCATTTATAGCGTTTCTGTCTCTAATAATTTGGAAACAACGCCACGCAGGGGTTATGCTAATCGACCTTTCTGGGAGTGTCAATCAAACTTAAGAACTGACCAATTAGAACAGGGTAAGAAATATGAGCGTGTCGAACAAGCACACGTGTTGTCCTACAAACACACGTACAGCATTTGCGTATGTTTTAACACTTCCGTTTTGTTGGATCTTAGCAACAATAATTAAGGGGCGTGACTTAGCGAAAAGGTCCATTACTACGTAAAATGGATTAGTAAGTAGTAGTACTGTACAGGGGTTGTTCTTGTGTAATTACAATTTCTGTGCGAGTAGCTCGTCAATTACAGGTAAGTCGGAGCTGGAGTATCGCCCTACATTGAGCAAAATATAGGCCCTACAATGGAATCCCATCCATACCCACCACAGCTTTTCCAAGAAGAGCCCGTTTTTCAAGCGTGTCTTGTCTGTGCCAAAGACCAAGTGGTATTTCCGGCGTACTTCTGTGGCGAATCTCTCAGCACGACATAGTCCATGCTTAAAGATTACAAGCATCAAAATTGGAAACCTGTCTTCCTTGGATTGTCAAAAAGTTTTTAAAAACTATCGAGTAACTCTCCAAATAGAACCCACACACGACAAAACATAATCAAAAGCTATAAAAATTTAACCAATAAACTCATAAATCTAACTGTCATCTTACGATGCAGTGAACTTTTCTAATGAAGAAAAGTATACTTAGTTAATAAATAAAATGTTGGAGGGGTTCGTAGGCCTACCTTCGCTGTGCGTTTCGCTTTCTTGTGTTCTTTGACAAGGCACTTTACCTACGTTTGTCTCTCTTCACCCAGGAGTATAATTGGGTACCCTTTGGCGTAGTATTTTCTGCAGTAAACAAGCAATACAGTATAGATTTCCGGTGGTTAACTACTGGGGAGAAAAAAGGCGGCGCGGAAAGGAACTTGCCTCCCTACCGTATAATGCCGAGGCTTTATATTACGGTGGGCTTACAGCTCATTCATCTACGTTCAGTAATGAATACGGGACTACCTAATAAATAAACGCTTTAACATATCGGTTTGCTCGAGATATTCATTGATTAATAAACTAAATTCATATGGGGAAAATCACTAAGGTAATGCTATCTGGAAGAGAATTGAAAAGTCTGATAAAGTGAGCATGCAGTATGGTGCGTACTTATATGCGTAGTTCGGGCAAGCTGTTCAATAAAAGAGAGAATATTTGGATGCCTACGGTTAACAGAAATATCAGGCAGATTAACATAAAAAAGTTGATAGTGAGTGGATCCCTTCAGTGAGGCATTTGCCAGGTAGTGGGCATTCGGACTTTTGGGGGCCGCAGTTACATTTGTTATCGATTACAGGGTTCTTTTTCTGTAGTTCGTTAGAGAGTGCGGATTTGTTGTGCGAGGTTGTGATACTATTCATATTCAGCATGCAGCAAAAGCTTAATTTCAGTGTGTTTCTGTTTAAAAGTTTTCTGAGCTCATGTTCTTGTGGAAAATGTTCATCTATTAGACGTAGAAATTTATGACATATATGGGTGGTTGCGACGTTGGCACTGTACGGGGTTGTGGAGGGTCAAATCGATATATCATTTCGGTTGCGTGATCGTTTAGTCTTTGTGAGTACAGGGTTAAAATTCAACTTGTAGTAATAGCCGTTGTTCTTGGGAGCATCTTGATATTGCGGTACAGCTGAGTCGACGATTCCTTATCAGACGAGATGTTGGATAGTCTTCTATGGCTTCGGGAATGTTGCGAATTATAGACGGTGTGTAGTTGCTTTGTTGATGGACGTAGCGAGTATTGTTTGGTTTGGGAAATGGTTTGAAAGTCCAGGGTTAGGTCCAGGTAGTCAAATTACTTTCTGTTGCATAATGGTATGTGCTTTTTAATGCACTCTATCCTTCTTGGTGATTCGTCGAATGCGGCTATGCCACCGTCTCTGTGTATATAAAATTTACTTCTCAAAAACACCCACAAGAAGGCTCGAACATAAAAAATACAAATGACATCAAAAAGGAGATAAAGTCCTCTTTAGAGATTACCAGTATAATTTTCAGATTAATATAAATACTGTATAGTATTGACTGTCTGAGATTTTATTACCAAGTGACTGTTTACAATGTTTTTTCACATAACAGTGAGTATTATTTATCAAGACAAACTTTTGCGAATGAAAACAAATTATCCCTTCAACTTAACATTACTCTGTCAATTAAAGTACTCTTGTAGGTGGTATATTGAGCACTGTTTCTGTCATTTACCTCCACGGGATCCGTCGCAACAAGTTTAAGCACACACTGATTGTCGGATTGAGGCGAGACACATCAGCTAATAAGTAGCCTACCAGTTAACAATATGCCATATTGCAAAGTTAGGTTTTTGTAATGCGCATGAAAGTTGCGATTGGCAGTGAACGCAAATTTTCAATTTTAAATTAGGCCTACCACCAATTACACTGCAGCCAATCGCAACGGAAGTCTAGTCTGAAAAGGATATAATTCATTTACTCAAATACAGTACTGTATAGTATGCACCACTGCACATGAACTTTGATTACAAAGACGTTGTACTGGAAATTCCTCACTACTACTGTATTTAAATCTGTGTTGAACGTGTACTACGCATTAGTCCTTGTACTTTGCACTTTTAGGTTACCACTTCCATTAAAGGAAACAAGTACAGTGACAAGTCAAATGATACCACGTAAGATCCCTACTTAATTATATATACAGTACTGATATAGATGTTTGTATACTACTCAGAGAATAGAACAGAAAAAGTAGACTTGAGTTTCCCTATACAGGAATACTATACGGTAACTAGTTGATATTTCCATTGTACGAATGATGAGCTGTAGGAAGAACGGTATAGAAAAGGTAGGGTGTAAAGGAAAGATAATAACCCCGGATCTCGCAGCGTCATAGTAGGCCTACTGAATTGCGCATGGGGTAAGAACACAGTTGGGCAAAGTGCGGCCCGTCTGTGATTTTTTTTGCGGCCCTCGAAAATGAATTACAAACCCATGTGTGTGGCCCGCCAACCATCTTTGGCTAGAAAACACCTTGTGTTTTTTGCGGCGGCGCGGCGCGACCGATCATCTGTGAAAAAAAGTGGCCATGAAACAGTGTATGATGGTATTTGGAAGTACACTGAAACATCAAAGTTTGGGCGCAGCCCTCGGTGTTGAATCAAAAATTCCCTTTGGCCCTCACACCAATTTTATTGCCCACCCCTCAGGTAGAAGGTGCGTGACTACTGAAGTAGCCGTAGAGAGATGCTTGGAAATGAACCATAGCATGGGTAACCCATACTCTTCCGAAAGGCAATAGGTTATTTAAAGCGCTCACAAGGCAGATGTATACATATGGTATGACATTAAATGTATAGGTCGTGCACGTACAAGCAGCAATGATCAGGGATACTCCCCAGGGAGCAGAGAAAGTTGCACAATCCAGTATCCTGTGACCAAGGAAATGATGCCAGCGCCTTGTGTAATTGCCTTGTATAATCTGCGGATTGTGGTAGGCGCTATATAAATTCTGGTTCTAAGAGGGAAAAAAGTAAAAAGGTATGCTTATGCCTTCGTTGCTAAAATTTTTTATACCTTATTTTTCTCATTTTATTTTCTTTTGGTAAAATGCTATACAAGACAGTGTGTTGCTTGCTTAATTACTTTTTTCCATTATAGAACTAAAAAATGGCTGAAGGAAAAATTTCTCAGTTACTCAACAATCTGGATGAAAAGGTAATGGAATGTGCTATTTGTTTAAAACGACTTCAAAAACCAACAACATTGGCATGCCTTCATACCTTCTGCTTATCATGTCTTCAAGATTGGGTTAAACAAAAAGATGCACTGATCTGCCCTACTTGCTCGCAACCATATACCATTCCGAAGGGTGGACTTCAAAAGCTACCACCAAATACATTCATCAATAACCTACTAGAAAGTATTGAACAGCTTGAGAAGGAAGACAAAACCAAGTGCTTATGTGGTAAATATTATGCTCAATTCTACTGTCAGGATTGCAGAAATCATTTGTGTTCTTCTTGCAAAGATCAGCATAAAATATTTCCTCAATTAAGAGATCATGTGATTCATTCAATTGAAGATGTCAAGTCAATGACACCGCTTGAGCTTTCGTCTTTGAATTCGCCACGTTGTTCACTCCACAAAGACAAAACTCTGGAGTTCTATTGCAAAGTTTGTGTAACTCCCATTTGTACAAACTGTGCAATCACAGAACACAATGAACACAAACCTGTTGATATTACTGATGCTTTCAATGAATTTAAAGAAATTACAGTTCATTTAAAACAGAATGTTGAGGAATTCAAGGCAAACTTACAAACTAGACGGGAACATTTCCAGCTTAATGCACTTAAACTTGAGGAAAACAATAAGAAATGTAGGAGTGATATTAATGCATTTGTTGAAGAAATAAAAAACACAGTCACAGAAATGGAAGAAAGATTATTTAAAGAACTCCATGAGTTGCATGCCAAAAAGAAAAAAATATTCAACGGTGAGCTTGATGGGCTAGACAGAATAGCATGTGACGTGGATACAAGATGGAACTACATTTCCCAATTATTAAAGAGCAACAAAGCAACTGCCTTGCAATCACATAAAAAAGCAGTAGCAGTACTTCAAGACAGAATTAAGGCGTTGCCGGCCATAGAACTGAAAGATAAGGGTGAAATATATTTCTTGAAAGAAAGAGAATCATTTTCTAAATTCAAACAAAATGGAATTGGGTGTGTTGTCGAAAATGCTTTAGACTATTTTAAGATTTCAAGCACAGCAATTCTGGGTTAAAATAAGTGATAAATATACAAGCCATATAAGTGCAACTTTGATACGTGGTGGTGGTGGTGATGATGATGATGATGATGATGATTCTTTAACAGATGATGGTGATTTAGATGATGATGATGATGATGATGATGATGATGATGATGATGATGATGATGACGACGATATTAAGGATGGTAATTATGTTAGTAAAGGCGATGATGATAATGGAGGTGGTGATGATAATAATGATCACCATAATAATGCTCATGATGGTAATGTTTGTAATGAAAGCATCACAATAATGGAGATTGTGTCGTCACTGGGATGTGTTTATGTGCAGGTGATTGGAATCTAAACGTCAGTCTAGGTGAACACCCAATTAAAGGGTCTCCATTAATTATCAATGTAGAAAAGGAAAGATTACAATCTACGCATAATTTAAGAAAAAATGTAATGAGTGTTGTAATGGCAAATGATGGATATTTGCTAGTTTCATGTAAATCTAATGAGATTTTCAAATTGAAAGAATCAAGTGTTAGAAGCACAATCAAGTTGCCAGAAGGTGTTAGTGTTCATAGAATGAAAACACTGAAAACCAATGGCAACATTGTATTTGGTGATACAGGTAACAAGTGTATTACTGTATGCAAGCCTGAGGGTCAGGTGATCAAATCATTTGGTAAAGGTTTGATAGGCATTCCTTATGGGGTTGATGTAAATGAAAATACTAATGAAGTTTACGTTGCAGATTACGTGAATGGTTGTGTATTAGTTCTTAGTCTTGAAAATGGTCAGCTGATCAAAAGAATTGGATCTAAAAGAAAATGTGAAGGTCAACTTTCTGCAGTATATGATGTCACTCTTACTAAGGAAGGTCATGTGATTGTAGCAGATACATTTAACAATAGAATACAAATGTTTGACAGAGATGGTTCATTCATTCGAGTTCTAGTACAAGGGGATGACGACAGTAAAGTGAAACGCCCATTAGGTGTTGTAATGGATGAAGAGGAACACCTTATTGTAGCAAGTTACCAGAAGCTTCAGCTGTTCACAAAAACCGGAAAGTTCATCAAAACAATTGGCCAAAAACAAGATGGGATAGAAATTCCTGAGGGATTATGTGTAGTTTCTCATTATCCAAGAAGAGTAGCAGTTGCAAATTGGAACCGAAAAAATGTTCTAATATTCAATTACTAGTGAGTTATGTATATTAAACTGAGTGATTCAAACAATGTTATTTGTCAATGTTCAATATTGAGGTTTATAAGTACAATTTTGGGTGATCTTAAACAACAATAATATCTGCGCATGAACCCACCAGGGATTTTATTCCAGGATTCAGACTTGTTAGACCCACTGTCGAAGATTTTAGACCACCACTGTTGGAATTTACTCTACAGCTGTTTCATGCAGTAGCAATCTTCAGGAGTGAGTGGATAGGAAGATAATGGAGGTATATATGAGGTTCAACAGGTGCATATGCTAATTATGTTACGTATTCCGCTATTATTGCGCTCTGCATTCGCATTGAGCACTATACGTCGCTGATCTTGACAATCTTATTTTGTATATATACATGATACGTATGATTTAATGTACTTCGGTGCAAATTCAACATCTAGTAGCTTTGTAGTTGTAGCCTAATATAATAAAACGTAGATTATCTGTGGAGTGTCTTGTAACTTGGGTCTATAAGGTTTTCCCTTAAGCGATCACTTTAACTCACAGGGACACTACATAAATAATATATAGTTATAGTTTAGGCTGTAACTACAAAGCTACTAGAGATAGACGTTGCTTCGAATTGCATTAGATCATGCATATTGATTCAAATCACACATCAGCGGACTCAATAAAGATTTAGGTTTTGCTAGTGGTTATACATTCATTAAGAATTTATTCCTTAACCATCCTAGAATATACCTGGAATAATAAATATGTTATATTATTAGGCCTACATTCAGGAGGCTCAGTTACAGACTGTATATGATCATTTCTCTGAAATAACCATCTTCTTTATTGTGCTGGCCAATACAATAGATAGCTTATTTGACAGGTCTCACCCTTGGTTCTGTATTACTGTAGATACTTAGATAAATAGGCCAATCATTTTACAGTTTTATAAGTATCTGTATATTTATATATATATATATATATATATATATGCATATGTATGTATGTGTATATGTATGTATGTATATGTATGTATGTATATGTGTATGTATGTATATGTATATGTATGTATATATATGTGTATGTATATATATATATATATATATATATGTATATGTATGTATATGTATGTATATGTATATGTATATGTATGTATATGTATATGTATATATATATATATATATGTATATGTATATATATATGTATATGTATATATATATGTATATGTATATATATATGTATATGTATATGTATGTATATATGTATGTATGTATATATATGTATATATATGTTTATATATATATGTATATATACACGTATGTATATATATATAATATTTAGGTATTATATATATATATATATGCGTTTATATTTTTGTTTTTATTGTTAGGATATTTTATGGCGTCATTCCTTTTTTTTAAGTTCTTTTATATGGAAAGTGCTTAGAAGCATTGTTTTGCATTAAGCGCTCTAAAAGACATATTATTATTATTATTATTATTATTATTATTATTATTATTATTATTACAAAAAAGGCGCTGTATAAAAAATATAAATTATAAAAGAATAATAATAAAATGTTTCCAAAATTATTTCATGATGCATTGTTAGTGACCAAATATTCCTTTTCATATTTAAATATGAGCTTTCTGTTGAATGAATGTAGCATGAATAGAGTAACGACTTAAAATGAATAGTGCATGTTATTGACAAGACTGTTTAATATGAAGTAACACATTCAGTATGCCTACACCGACGTTTCTCTAAGAATTCAGGGTTTATTGCTCGAAAGGTGTTAAAATATGAAGTTCAATTAATTTGTCTTACTTTGAGACTGCTGTAGTTGTTGTGATACAATAATAGAAAAAATCAAGTGTCCCCATAATATGGGTTATTTGACCATTTGGCACACTCGGACCCTTAATTGGGTGTCCCCTTGGCCATAGTGTTAAAAGATACATTGCCCCTCGTTTCACGGAAAAGTGTCCTCTTAATAGGGGTGTCCCCTGAATAGGGGTGTCCCAAAACATGATGAAAAATAATAATTTAATGTGGAATTAAGGGGAACTCCCCACACAAAAGGAAAGAAAACAACAAAACTTAATTTGAAGAGGGAAAAGCTTTCATAAATACACTAGTTTTATTTTTCTCAATGATGATTTATCCAAGTTGAATTCCAATGTTAATTTTTTATTTATATTAATGTGATAACGTATTTTGAATCGATGAAAAGGAAAAATGATTTTTATAATGACACTATGATAATGTGAAATGAAAACAAAAACACATGAAGAAAAATGTAACATAGTACCCTATCTGCATGACACCTAAGGCGTTCATCCCTCTTGTTCCCCAGAGCATACCTGTAGTAGTGTGGCAATCTGTGACTAACTGTATGTACATTCCTGAGGTTGTATTTTCCTATAGCTGCATGGCACCTAAGGCGTTCATCCCTCTTGTTCCCCAGAGCATACCTGTAGTAGTGTTGCAATATGTGACTAAGTGTATGTACATTCCTGAGGTTGTATTTTCCTACTATTCCTCCAGGAAATTGCTACCACTACAGTAAGCATGTGTTCCCAAATTATGATCACCATTCCTAATTAAATGAGTCATCAATCCCTGTTTCCTGTCCCTATGTATATATGTACCTGCGTTTAGTTAGGAAATCAGTTCGAGTATTAGAGAAAATTACATCAGTCCTAATCAGTGTACTCCTCAAAGGTGGGAATTCCCACTCAAAAAAACAGGAACTCTCAGGAGTCCAGCTGAACCATGATTTTAGGAAAGTTATGTTGTATTTTAACCTGTCGGACATAATAAGTTGTATACAGGTGATATTAGTCAATATTCTTTATAAAAATTAATCAACAGCGTTATATCTGGTAGTTTATTTCAGTAGTAGCAAGGAGGTATAAAACCTTCCTTTTTAAAAGCAATAAATGAAAACTTCACATTTCTGCACTCGTAAATATTAAAAGGTTTTTGCTGCAGATCGCTTCTTCTCTCTCCCCTCCCCCCAACCCAATTTCCATCTCTCTCTCGCTCTTCCTACCCTCTCTCTCTCTCTCTATCGCCATCATTTCATCATGTTGTTGGTGTTGGTCTGCCGTGAACGTAAAATCATAAAATCTTTCAGTACGTCCAGTTTAGACGCGTCATTTAAAAATCTTTGCGACAAAAATGTCCAAAAATTTCTACTTTTTAAGTGTAAACACATTTGTGGTGGTTTAAAAGAAAACAACAAACAACAAAAGAAAAAAATATTTTTCATACCGACCTACATATTTTTGGATTTTCCTAAAACGTGTCCAACACAAGATTACATTTTTCTTTTTGGCCTAATATTACTAGGCCTTTGTCAGAGCCTCCGGGAGCTTCTACCACTCGTGCACTTCTAGAGGTTCTGGGAAAGGCATCGCCAAAGGGCAAATCTTGGCTCCAGTAGTTTTGATTTGTGATGATTTAACACAAGGAAGAAATGATCTAATCAATAAGTAAGATTAAAGAGTGTCTTTTGGCAAAATGTTTTAACATTTTGCCAAAAAATCACTCTTAAGGTTGCAATAATTATTATGAATTTAGTGACATAATAGTACAATGGTTCCCAAGCAGGGATCCGCGGACCCCTTAGAGGTCAGCGAAAAAAAAAAATAGGGTCCGCCAAGTAACGGGTCCCCAGGGATCCGCTATACGTTTAGACCAATCGTTTATGATTCCATAATGTTTCTTGTCTTACAACAGTGATAAGCATATTACTACTTAAATCATTATGTGTCTTATTAACAATGAAATATATTGAAACAGGCATAGACTTCGTTTATTGTAAATTGTTTAACGGACACATTGTTATTCAAATATTTTATTTCTAATCTTTCATAATCGCTTATATTTGTTTTTATACTTGCTTTATGCAAACATGTTTAGTGTTTAGGGAGAGCCACTTGATAGTGACACTCTTCAGGTAATAAACATCTTGTTTGTATGTTTTGTATTTTATATTGAGTTTACTTGTGATTGCATACCTTTTAAAAATAACAGAGTCCCTAAATCTTACATAATTAAAAACTATAATAAAAAATAAATAAATAAACATGGGGGGATAAAAGAAAATTACTGTACATTAAAATTCTAAGTCTGACAGTGCTAGTTCCGGTCATCTGGAACGCCGTACCGCAACCTGTCGATCGCAACCTAATGTTGGGGTCCCGGAAAAACTTGGATGGGTCGCATATCCCTTCAGATCGTGGAAATGTCACTTAATACAAACGAAGCCAAAGAAAATCAAAATTACAGTAAAGAAACTTAAAAATGTGGCATATATGCGTCAGGGTACTTTTGTAATGCTTGCGTTATCAATAGTTTCATTTACAATGCATCTGTAACTTATTGGAAGATTTGATAACTTGAGTGGTTCTGTTACACGAAAACTTAAAATTTATCTTAATTTCATTTTTATGGCATTTAATTTATTTTGTGGGTGATTTGAGAACTCCTTTATGAATGAAGTGGTATCCATTTGGTTGACAAACGAACCAAGTTGACGTATGTTTTTCTGATCGTATAATACGACGGAAAAGAATAATTGACCTAAAATGATACAATATCCAATCATTTTACCATGAAATTAATTAAGGTAATACACTAGACTCTCTGGTTCGATGGGGCGCGTCTGTGTGATTGGCATTTAATGTGAGCTGTGAGCCGGCTAAAAAGGTTGCGGTACCGAGATCTAGAAGTTCCATAGAAATAAAAATGTTGTTCCTTAGCCCCAATCATGGTAGGGCTGATGTGATATCGATCACCAATCTGTAAAATAAACTTTCTAACCCCCACCCTCCCCCTTTAATTCGAATTCGAAGATCCGCCACTGTTTATTGTTATAATTTTGTGGCGAATCATCTTCTATCTATAATTTTTTTTAATGAAATACTAACCATGAGTCGCCCTGCATTTTTACAAAATTAAGAATAGATGGGGAATAAAAAAAAATTAGTCAAATTTTGAGTTTGACAGTGCTATTTCCGGCCATCTAGAAGTGCGCATAGGCCTATCATAAAAATCTCTTAGGCTTGAGGTATGTGAAGGAGGCTTTTTTCTGTTTCCTGAGGGGTCTACTGTGTATGAAAGAGGTTGGTGATTTTGAAATAACAAAATATAAAATATGCATTTAAAAGGCTATGCACACATCCTCCCTGTGACTGATTCTGGATTAACCATACATTGTGACATAAATCAAAATACAAAACTCAACAGTGTACGTTATCACAGTACATCACGCCGCCGATTTAATCATATTCTCATTTTAATTAGAATTTATATGTTTGTCTTTGGTTAGGGCAGGTGACATTTCAGTAAAAGAGATATAATTCATCAGAACAACAGACGCTGCAATAAGTTTATATAGGCTTACATATATTTTTTTTATATTTTACCTCTCATGCTGATCTTCGCTATGGATAACGGTGCTAAGGTTTGGATCTACAGCGCCTGCAGTAATATTTTGACATCACAGCATTGAAACAGGTTTGGTTGTCGAATGTAAAGAGAGTGAAGTTGACAGTGGTGTAAAGTTAAACAAAAGAAATAATAATAATAATAAAATAATAATTTGGATTTGTAAAGCGCAAAATACATAGGTCTCTATGCGCTAGAAATTTGCAAATTAAAATAAACTAAAGAGATGAGTCTTTAGACGAACATCAGTTTAAGCTGAATATCCGGGTTTATTTGTGCTCGTCGTGGTACCCATATCACAGCTTGGGTCAGGCTCCCTTCCGATACTCTCCTCTAGCCTAGTCTACCTATTTGGTTAATTAATGTCATAAGCATGCTTTATTTAATAATTGTTATTCAAAAACGAATTGTGATGCATTTATTCATATTGTTTGATTTGGTAGGCCTATAGTATTGTTTAGAAATGTGAAACATGGAAACTAAATTACAATTGGTAATATAGATACTGAACGGCAATAATGATGAGTTTTATACCCAACATTTTGACAATTAACAACATGAAGTTATATAACAAGAAATCTTAATAGAGTAAGTTTTTTTTTTTTTTTAGGTGGGAGAGCGATTTCAATATTAAAACCTTATAGACTTTAAAAAAAAAAATCATTCTTTTATTAGGAGAAGGGATAAACGACAACATTGATCTAGTTGACTTAGGGGTGGCGCCAGGATTTGCCCGACAGTGGTTCCGATGTCCCCCGATGGAGGAGGCGATGTCCCTGAAGAAAAAAACGTAACGTAGGCCTCAGTCGTGGTCAAAATCTTTAGAAAATGTTTCAGGGGTGACGTCAACGAAATTTAAATAGGCCTATGACAATTTAGGGGTTTCAAAAAGATCATTTATTCGATTTCAAATTCTGCTAATATGTCGAATACATAGACATTCTTATGGTTTTTCTCCTCAAATAGGGACGATCCCTCTCCCTCCCTAATTTGGCTTCTCTTTTTCATCCCTTTTTCAGCCACTCTCTAACAGAGATGATTGTATATCTCTGACCTCTTCTTAACTGCATTCGCATTGTAATTTTACATAAATTTCCTGTATTAGTTTCTTTTGCTTTCTATTTGTTATACTGTATGCCTACGGTCACATTCACTGAATTTTGTATCACAGCGCATGAACTTTGACATAAGATATTAATATAGGCCTATATTGTGCATCCTTTAGTGGAAATTCCCCAATATTATTTAAATTATTGTATAACGTATGTAGGTCTACGCAGTTGAGGACTAAATGGTTAAGTTAATGGTAAGATTCCCGATTATTATTATTGCATGTAATGATATACTTTTGTTCTTCAAGTTGAACGTTTTACTTGAATGATTTATTGTACTGTACCGTACCGAAACAAGTGGTTTTCACATAATACTTCACTGCCTAGTGGATATTGTCTCGGCAGCCTTAAGTAAATCCGATGTGTTTACTGGTGAACCTTAACCTTAAGTCTTGCTATGTTTAATGCACTACGACACGTCGTAAGAATATGTACAGTTGTATAGAAAATTACACAGGAAGCCATTACAAGACATGGTAATATTTGCCACATAAACGGAGGCTCCATGGTTGTTATCTAGACGTGGTAGGTCTATATTTATTATGAATTACGTTAATAACAACCTAAAACAATAATGGCCGTTCTTATTGAACTAATATGCCGTCGTTTTTTCGTGGCTAGTGGGGAGTATGTAATACGTATTGCATTTGAAACTGCATGATTCAATGTTTTTTACGGCTTGTGTTGTAATAATAAATCTATTGAGTACACAGCTCCTTGCGATTATGGTGTGGTTTGCATGTCCGTACTGCCGAACGTTGTTTTTCTTTAGCCGCCATAATAGAACTCTCTTTTACTTAAACTCATATTAACTTCTGATATGTCTTGCGAGGTTTAGGCTGTTGGCATCTAACCCACCTCCCCAAACCAGAGTCCTGGTGGGGGTTTTGTGGCGAAGCGGAAGTTCCGACAAATAGCATTTTGAGGGCCTTTTGGATTTCTGAAACCTATTGCGATGGCCTAATTAATTCTATTTAAATTTTCATTCACTTAGGTGTTGTTAGTTGCCTGAATAAATAATGCTTTTAATCCTTTATATCTGTGCAGGCCTCCAGGTAATATTTTTCATGTGGATCATTATAATCGTACTGATCAAATTTTAATAAATTTCGTACCACAGTTAAGTTATTAAAGGAGCTGGAAATTAAATGCAATGTAGCTATAGAATTTAGCGAGAAACGATTTATGAAATAACCGCGCTTTAAAAAATTAACCTTTTGAAATTGGGGGTGGGCGCTCAGACTTTCCACCCCTACTTATTGGATATATTATTTTTATAGAATATTTTTTAATTGTTTCAACAGTTTAATGTAGGCCTATGTTTAATTTGAAATACATAACCATAACAGCCTAACTGTACAGTTGCGTTAATGTATGATTTAACCAATAGATGATGGATAGGTAAATAATGAATGAACAGGGACAATAATTTGATTGATCAATTGATAAATGAATGGATAGATGAATGAATACATATATGAATACATATACATACATATACACACACACACATATATATTATATATATATATATATGTAGTATTTTTTAGTTAATCTTAAGTACCTTTAAATTTATTCTATATTATTTATTTATATTAATCAAAACTATCCCGTATCCAAAGAGGCTATACAATGAAATACTGTTTTAGCCTGTAGGTTAATGACCCATTGAACATTCCATTTCCTATAGTCAAATAAATACCACCAGCTAACCCTCTCCCGAGAGTTGGGTGGTATGTTGTCGACATACCTGAGGAAGTAAAGGAAACGTCTTGTCAACATCAAATAATGTATGACCGGACACAGGAAATCGGGAATGGACAGTGACTTTGGGTGTTGCCTGAGGCTAAAGGACCAATGATAATTGAATATTCGAATGAGTAGGGTGGAGCCAGATCCCCTACATATACCCAGAATATCCAAGGAAACAAAGGAGAACAGAAAAGAAGGAAAAAGACACAGCAGAGAAGAAGGAACACTGAGATATCCCGATCGGAACTCCAGCACACAGTATAGTCCTATAGTCGGAAAGACTTAAGATAAATGTGAATCTTCTTCAGAAAGCTGTTGACTGGAAACCTTCCTGAATTAATAAGGAAGAAGACTTTTGGTTTCACTAATTTCTTGACTTGAATCAGAAGAACAAATACCGGTACCAAGTGCAACCAGGCGATTGCAAGTGGAAGCGATTTTGGACATCTTCCGGAACTGAACTTTGTTACGTCATTGGAACTCGCTGTTTTGCCGTATATTCTGAACTCTATTTTTGTTGGACTTCTTGCATTTATTATTATTTTACTTTCTACAAGCGTACGCTGCATTGCCGACGGTCTCACGTGAGTAGTTTGTTAGGTTAGGTTAGGTCGAATTTATAAGTCCCTATTGTAATCCCCATAGCCCAATAAATCATTATTAAGTATATAACTAGAAAGGTTTCCTCTTGTTTTATTTGTGGCCATATATGTAAACATCTA